ATGTATTTGGTGCAAATGGATGGTGAAGCATGAAGGCAGCAGGGTGAAAACCTTCTGTGTGAATCAAGGATGCACTCCTAAAAAAAAACCCAAAACAAACCAAACAAAAACCACGCCAACATTTTCCCTGGAATAACAAGTACTTTTTATCGGCGTAGGTTTTAGAATCTTGCTTGTCATTCTAGCTCTTTCATTACATTAGCTTTTTAATTTAGTTATATGATTACTGAAGGACTAATTAAAAAATGATTGTGTGATCTCATTGAGAAAATATTTTTCTATTCAAAGGAAAGAGGTTTTTAATTAAACCTTTTTTGATGAAATGGTTTTGTGAATATAACAATGTCTGAGTACTTTGCTAGTTAAATATTTCTTGAAGTAACAGGGCAGAAAATTTGAAAATAAAAATAGAAAAAAATGCATCAGCAGAGATAACAGAGATCTGGAACTGTGAATATTCTTTGAGTTCAGATTAATCACTTCATTGCTAGTTAAACAAGCCACTAAAAACTATATATATTTAAAGATAATTAGGTGCACTGAGAAGGGCACTCAGAGCAGTGCTACTGAATGTTCTGGAAGTTATTGATCCAGTTATGGTGACCAGGAGAAGCTACAGAGAGTAAAAAAAATGCTGCCATGCTATTAATATATTCTTGGTAGTTGATTAAGAAATATATATTTATTCAGGTGCTATATTTTAATTTGAATGAGATCCTAGCCATCTGCTTGCAGAAATGAGACAGTGGGTTCATCTCTGGGGAAGAACAGGTAATGGAAATGAGTAGGCAGGGAGGAAGGGAAACATCAACAAACGAGCCAGGGGAAGTAAGGAGCAGAAACATCATCAGCTTCTTGCAGGAGCAAATCTCTGAGGTATGTCACTAATAGGGCACAAATTTTGACAAGATGAGAAATAGGCATAATCCCTGCAATTGACCATATGAGATTGGACCTGGCTGTAAAAGTGCTCAAGGTTGTCAGCATGGCTATGTCTTTATTCTCAGGTACTGGCAGGTTTTACTGGAAGAAATCACCGCTGAGGCACATCTGCGTATGAACGTGCCTAATTCAGCTACAGTTAGAGGTTGAGGAATTACAGGGAACCATGTTCCTTCTGGGTCCTTTTGGGGGATACTGAAATGGCCTGTGTGGGCTGAATGAGAGCCTGTGCCAGAAGAAGCAGAAGGATCTCACTAGTGGGAAGGTTTCTCATCATAAGGTGGAAGGGAGACCTGCAGCATGTCTGTCCTGGTCATTATGCCCTGAGGTTTTGTAAGTGTCCTGCTGTAGAGAACTGGAGGACACACACCAGCAAATAAGGGAAGGACAGCTTTCTGTGACAGTTCCTCTGTGTGAAAGAGCGTATGCTGTGGTGAATAACACCACACCTAATGGTTGTGGAAGGATTTTCAGCTGGCTTGTTCCTGCTTCTGTCCTGTCTAGCAGGTTGTTCTTTTCTGTTTTTCCTGTCTTCCTTGAACATGAATACCAAGTCTTCTCTCTCCCTCAGTGACAAACATAGACTATAGAAAGCATGGTGATTTGTACGTGGATAAATATCGCATAATTAGAAGACTATTCAATTTACTCTTGGATTTGGTACTGTCAAAAACCCACTCATTCCTGTGTATTACAAGCTTCTGAAACTATAGTAATCACTGCTAACCTGCAAAATAACCAGCATTACAAAACTGAGCTGAGAAGGTAACCTATCACAGCTGTTTATTCTCGCTTAGTGTAGAAACTCCTTGTCCTGAGTTGCCACATAACTAGTCATCCAAGTTAAGCTTATAATCACATTCTTATCATTACATGCCTCTCAGCAGCAGCCTTCTCACAGTGAAAAGCTGAATCTGCTAGAAATAGATTAGCTAAGCTGTTTGCTGACATATCCATCATATATACATTTATGAAGTCCTGTACAGCTGTTCATTTTAAGTAATGGCAGCAATTTTATTGTCTGTAATGCTGTTAGGGCTAGCAGAAAAGTAGAAGAACATTATCCGCCTTTATTCACTACATGAGGAAGAATGTGGTTTTAAAGCAGTACTACGAAATGAAAGTGGCTTATTAGAGTATGCGATGTTACATATTCATTTGTATAAGGAGAGAACACAAGTATTATGCAGGGAACTGTGCAAATGTTCTATCCACTTGAAACAGCTGGATACCTTTTTCTGCAACAGATGACAAGGAGCAAAGCCGAACAAGGGAATCAGAAGCATCAGTAGAAACATGCTTGCTTACAGAAACCTGCTTAGAAGATAAGCCGGGGAACTTAGGTGTGTAGGAAAAGCCTTTCCTTTCTCACATCGATTCCCGGGGTGGCTGGCTCCATCTTAAATCTGTACAGTCCTGAAGTGGTCACATGTTCATTGTAGATAGGATCTAGTCTTTCTTGCTAGTGACAATACCTTTATTCAACTCTTTTTGCCCACCCTGATACTCTGAGACAGTTAAATCTCTGCTTAACAGGTTTTGCATGGGCTTAGTACACTGACCCAAGGGATAATACTTTTGGAAGTTTGCAAAAGCCCCTTTCTCAACTGTCTCCATAAATAGCAAAAAAACCCTTTGAAATAGGATCTGTGAGCCCCGTGACTTCGGTTACTCAACATTGTCGGATGATAACATACCGCAGCTAGAGAACAGGAGCGCTTCAGGTTTCCAGAACTTGTGCAGTAGTGGGTCACTCATGTCATTTAAGGCATTCATTTGCATTTCTATGGGTGTTCTTTCTTTGTTTCCTTTAATAAAAACAATCTTCATATTCAGAACAAACCGAAAATCTCTGAAGTAATGAAGCATGATTTATAACATCATTCTATGTGGCTTATGACAATCATCAACTGCATGGTCTAGTTTAAAAAATGCTATGCTGTAACCTACAGGCTTTCCTTTTCCAATGAGCTCTTCCCTTTTCTGAGCTTGGCACTGAATGAACCCGAGGAAGCAGAATAGCACAGGGACAGGAAGTAATGATGACAACCTTGGAATGTTTTTAAATTTCCTCCCACAAGCTCTCATATTTTTGATTGCTGTTGTAAGATTCCTCCTCCGTAAAAGGCTTATGCATCACAAGAAAATGCATGAAGCACTTATTGCACAATATTAAGTTAATGGGGTTTTTTTGGGGGGGCATGGTGTTGTTTGTCTTCTTCCCTCTGTAAAAAAAGGAATTAACGAACAAAGAAAACCCCCATAAGCCACACTCACACATTCACAGGAGTCTTAATCTGTACAAAGAAGGTATCTATAATACAGTAGGGATGAAAAACGTAAAATAGAATTCTGTAAAGATTGGCATTTTGAGATATTAATTTTATATTACATTATTCCTTCCAATAAATGCAATGGATAACTTCTTTTAAGATATGTATAAAGGTTTGAGATATACAGCCAATTAGTGCCAAATACATGATGCATTTTTTCTTGCACTCTCTTGATTTTTTTTAAATTATTTTTTTGTGTGTGCCTATCACCATCGTTAGCAGCAGCAGTAGATACCAACATTAGTTGCAGCAGTTCTCATCTCTGGGCCAGGCCCCATAATGCCATGAATGAACATTAGTACCACAAGCAGCACAGGCATGACTGTGGGAAGCCCTATGGGATACATCCCAAGAGACATCCAGTATACTTTCCATTAGAATGAGAAGCTGTGAAGGCAAACACTGAATAATCACTCACATAAGCAGACAGCTAAAAAGCAACTTGGGACTCCCCAAAACCTTTCATCAGTTTGTGAACTGTGGCTTCTCTTATTTTATCCTTACAGGTAGTAGGGGCCCTGGTAGTCTATTTTGGAAGGTCCTGGTTAGACTTCTGGCAGCTTGCCTACAATGCTGTCACAAGGTAAGTTTTTACTTTAGTACTGGAATCAATTCTGTACTTTGTTTAAAAGAAGAAAATGAAGTTGTATTTTCCCAGTCACCTTTATTTCACTAGAAAATTATAAATTACCATCATAAATACATATACCACCAGTATAAAAATTAGATTCTCATTTATAAAATAAATATTAAAATAGTAAAAGCAATAGGTACCTCCAAATCCCATCACCAAGATGAATTTAGTCTATACCATGTAAACTATTCATTCACCCAACTGTTTATTTAAAAATAATGTTCAAAATGCAGTAAATACTGCTACCTACTCAGTGTTTGCATGAAGTGAGTTACTACTGACTCAAAAACTGCAAAGTATTTCTTCTAACCGTTACTTGGAACCACCAGACTACCTGTCTGTGTAACTCCAGGTGTAGTGTAATCTGGATATGTTTTCCAGATGGATAGCAGCTACCTACTTCAAAAGTGTTCCTTACAAGTCACCAGCACAGTAGTTTCAGTTTGTTTACCTTTGATTGTCTATATTCAAAGATAAATAGACCAAGTTAATTTTATCCAAGAAGTACATAAATAATAGTAGCATCTTTGTCACATCTGAACTAACAGATCCTTTCACCAGTTAATAATGTTAAAAGAAAGTTAGATAAGTACAGGTTTTGTTTCATAGAAACAGAAACATGTTCCTTTTAGTTAGGTAAAGGACACATATTTTTTGAAAGTAGTGTTTTTTTCCCCCTCACAAGTACCATAAATCTTCTGGCTTAGTAAAGCCATACTTTCAGAACAACTGTACCTGGTCAAGTCAAACATCCATCTAGTTCAGAATCCTGTTTCAGACGGGATAACAGAAGGAACTTGAGAAGAGTATATGAGCAGGGTTAGGATACTACAACAGACCACCAGAATACTCTTCCAGCCTCTGGCCGCTAGTGACACAGGGGCCTCCTGATATCTGATTTTTCATCTGTGTCTGTCTAACAGATTTTTGAATCCACATAAAGTTTGGGCTTCAAAATTCCTGTGTCAGAGAGGCTGAAAGGCTCCACTCAATTACCCAATTTATGTTTTTTGTTGTAGTTTTTGTTTGTTTGTTTTTGGTTTTGTTTTTTTTTACTTTGGAACTGCCACTAGTGTCCACAATATTTTTCCTCAGACACCATTAAGAGGTTCCTTTTCTCTAGCAGCTTTTGCTTTCTTGCGTTTACACAGGATCACTGACAGGACAACAGCAAGAGTGATGACCGCGATTGCTATCACTGCTATGATGATAAAGACTTCTGCTCCGTATTCTGTAGGGGAAGAAAAAAATTCCAAGATTCAGCTATCAGAAGCCATAATGTCACAGTGATACAAACTCTTAGAACCCACTCCATTGAACTAAAAAATACTTTCTATATTTTACAGTATCACAGAAGTGGAGTGACCACCTCACTGTGAACTGAATTCATTCTAACTTGAATTTGTTGAATTGAGGTAAAACCTTATTTCACCTGGTTCACATTAGGTTTTAATCTAGTTCAGTTAGTGCATTAAAATACTATGCTACCACCTCAAGAATAAGTCAAAATAATTCCTCCTACTCATGCATTATTTCTGTGAAACTAAGTCCAAGTGGAAATTTATTCTAGGTTAGAAGCAAGAAAACACCAACAGAAGAGATTTCTATTCAAGTTGTAATTTACTAGAATTCAACTACTGTGATAAACAAAAATATATATCTAGATAAGGAAGTTAATTTGAGAGAGTTAATTGGCCAATTTTAGAAGAGCTTTTCTATTTAGAGTGCAAATATTCTTATCTGGTGGAGAAGAAAGACACAGTACAGCAATGTGATATTATTTAATAAACATTGATGACTTTATATTGAAGAAAGTGTTATCTAGATTGTTTGTCTGGAATTAGACTGGCTGATTCACCAACCACTCACTAACGTATTTACCAGTAAAGAAGTCAATCTGCCAACCTCTGACCTTGTAAAGTAACAGTAAAGAAAGTCCTAGTCTCATCATCTGCTTTTGAGATAATAACTAAAGTTCAGTTCAAACTACAAGTCAATGGATATGTAGTTTTCCAGCACTCCTATGTTTTAAAGCTAATCCTTCAAGCATTTACTATGGGACCTGTTATTGGAAGGATCTGAGGAAAACAATCAAAACAAAAAAAACGAAGCTGAAGGCTAGTGATGAGATCTGAAACCTCAGCGACCAGTCATCAACTCAGACAATTTAAAACTAATCAAAACAGTTTAACAAAACCCTAAAACCAACTCCAACTAGCTAAAGATGGTGAGCTCTTACTTAATGTGAGTTCTTCCCATGAGTTTCCATGTTCAGTCTATGTTGTCTCGCTTACACAGTAAACAGTTTATTCTATAGGAGGCATCATAATTTAAAGAGGTATAAAAATGTACTCAGAATTGAAGTGTCTTTTTGTTAGAATGCTGAAGACTGTATGACAAACTTCACCAGATACCTACCATCTAAAGTACCTCTTTCTATACTGGTACAAACCACCATGCTTTCTTGACCATTACGGTTTTCTCTGCGGGAGGGAATGATTCCCTGTATGTAGAAGCAATAGTTCTTTGTGTTGTCAACACCTACTTCAAATTTATGGCTTTTTGTTGTTGTATCTTTCTGTAAAGGAAAAGAATAATAATTCAAGAAAGTGTTCTCTTCAAAAGTGCTAGCTCTTGAGTTAGCACAGAAATTGTGTAGCTATAATACAGCTATTTACAGAATATGTAAAAAGTAGAGTTAGACCTTACCTTTCCAGAACTTTGATCTTTCCAGTAATAGAGCTTGTATTCCAGGTCATGTTGGAAAATATCTCGAATACTTTGAAAGCTCCCATTAGGAAATGTATATGGTGTAAGTGGATCTTGGAACACAACATTCAGTTCGGAACCCTTTTGTGTGTAATTCTGTATCTCCGGTTTTCCAAGAACAGCTAAACAACCAATTTTAGAATTAAAAATCTGACATCATCTTTTCTACACAACATGCTCTTTTTGATTTCTCCCTCGACTCCCTTCCCTCCTCAAATCTGTTAGAAGTTTAGAGAGCCAAAGTAACACAGTGAAATCTTGGATTATTAACAAATATCTTAATCTAGTACACAATGTTAATAAAATGGTCTACTCACTACTGTGAGAAACAAATGATAACTAATATCTTACATACTCCCCTACAACAGGGAAAGCTTAATGCCTGAATGTCGTCTTCTCAGATACCAGTATGGTTACTGTAAGAATCTACAGGAAAAACCTTTAGGCCCAATCTAAGCCTTGTTTAAGTCAATGGAAGTAATCTTGAAAGGAAGTTTGTGATAAGATTTAATTGGCAATCCTACTTACTCTGATTGTAAGGTGTAAATTTTTCAGAGACTGCAAAAGGTGGTTCTTCAAAGTTATCCATCCCTGAGGATGTTACAGACAGTATGTGTGCTGTATAGGTCTCTCTTACATCCCTGAGCACATCAGTAACATCACACTCTGTATCTGCTGTCAGTATGCATTTTTTTTTGGTGTTGGATGTCTGTCTGAAAAGAGCAAGAAAGAAGCGTCAACACTTTCCAACCAGATATTAGGTACGTCAAAAACCATTTTTTTCCCCTCAAACTGTACAGATTTCCCTCATCCAGTGGAACAGTCTTGCAGGTGTACTAGGCCAAAAAGGAGAAGAAAAAACTTCAAAAACACTACACTGTACAGCTATATTTCACAATTCAAAGTAGGATCAAGTAAATCAAATATGATTTATATTAATTATAGAAATATGTTGTTGGATGCATATATGAATTAAAAATTCGATCTTTTATATGAATTGAATAGAAACCGTAAGTAGTTCTGATTTTGGATTTTTCTGCAATCAACTTATTTAAAAAGACATAAGACGTGTAAATCACTTTGAAAGTGTTATCCCTGATGCATTTGAAAACTAATGCCTTCAGAAACATCCGTTGTCCTAGGAAACTGTTGACCCCAATATGAATTGTTCAGTGTGACAACATCTCATATACATCACTTGGTTTTGCATCTATGCAGGTGCAAATCTCAATAAGAACCAGTCAGTAGCAGCAATTTTTGTTGCAGAATTACAATAAAAAATATTGACAATGAAGACAACCTATGCACTTCTCTCGATTTTTAAATGATAGAAGGCAGGTCCATGTACTTGAGAAATAATAATGAAAACAGAAAAAAGTGTTGATTCCCCATTTTACTTCCTAATAAGCAGGAATGGAAAAACAGATTAGGTATTACTGCTTCAATTCATTTTCCTGTTTTTGCTGGTGAACTAAGGAAAAGAAAAATTGTGTGATCTCAGCTGAAAGAGCAAGAATGCTGACTGGAAATTAACAAATGAGTCTTCCTCCAAGTAGGTCAAGTTTTATTTAAGAGTTGCCTGAACTCCCTTCTCACTTCACTAGATTTCTTATGATGTCACAGATCAGTTAGTGATAGCGTCCTAGAGATGCCTTGAAAATGGACAGAAGAGATTTGATCTTTGTGATCAAACAAACACACTCTGAAATGTACATAGATGAGAACGCAAACATTTAAGCACAATTCATCCATAAGAGCATCTTGTCTAAAGAAGTGTCTCCGCATCAGATCTATACCTGATTCTATACTGCATCTTGGGCCAACAGACTTCAATTTTTTGCAAGCACAAATGGCTGGAAAGAAACTCCAGATTCATAAATTTAATAAAATTCATTCTGTTGGTGTGTGCTTTTAAGCCTATTTATTTAGTAACTCCCTTGAAGAATAAAGGAGCACATTAGGCCATTGCACTGGTCTTTCACCCATTAGTCATGAGAGAGTTCTCATTTCTATGCCGCTTTTACAGACAGAAGAGACTACTATACCATATTTTCCTTAGTATGTAGGAGAGTTGATGATGCAGTTTCCCTTTGGGGCGTGTTTAATAATGGTCTATGAATTAACACAGGAGCTACGAAGAGCACAGGTTTATTACTGAACTTTACGGAATTTTTTGTGCAGTATTGAAAGAGATCTTAGACACTTAAGGCGTCTGCTTTTTACATCCACATTATATCATAGCTTACATAAAGCATGACAACAGCGGAAGTCTTTACAGAGGTAGACAAACAAAGGTAAACTTTAGTACTACCCAGCAAGACAAATTATTCATTTACTGTGATTCACCAATTAGAATAAAATGCAGACTCATATTTACCACACACCTCTCAAGACTAAAGACAAAGACTCAGTCCAGACACCATGAAAGACATAAAAAGGTGAAGTTCTAACTCATACACGGTATGTCAGATTGTCAACTTCTTCAAAGTATATTAGCCTAGATCTCCAGTGCAGCTGGCCTGCATCAAACCCCAGAACTGAAATACTGATCTAAAGCTCAACTCTCTGTTTCTGAAGTGGACAAAACCAGAAGCCTGAGTCAGATATTCTTATAGCTGGATACAAAGAAGCACTAACAGCTGTGTTTGCAATTTTTGTAAATCCACATGTTCGGGCTCCATTCCTGTTACATTCAGTCTCAGAAATATTAAAACACACTCTAAATGCATCTTCTTCAATTGCCATTAATGGGCACACCTTGGTGTTATCTACTTACCCGTGTATTTCTACTGTATAGAAGTAACCTGATGGTTTTGGTTGCCACTGAAGTATAGTTTTAAAATTGATTGAAGACCAAGTTATATTAACTGCTGTTGGTAGTTCTGGATTGCCTTTAAATACAGAAAAGAGTGCCATCAGTCATGTTATGTTTAATTCCTGCTCTCCTGCAGCCACTGTTTAGTTAAATGAAGCAGTCGCTGTTAATTGCTGCTTGGAAAAGTTCTTTTGGGGTAAAAGGCTCAGTCCTGCCCTCTGGGCTCACGCTCCTCTTACTAAAGGAATGTGTTCTGGCAGAAGCGAGAAACACAAGAAGAAACTTATTTTCCCACTTATAACTCCTAGCTTGCTGTGGTAACTTATTTGGAATTCTGTTTAACGCTTCGGTTTTGACCCAAGACTCCGAAGAAGCTACAAAAGCTTGAAGATACTCGTCCAAGTACCAAATAAACGCGGTGCAGTTCCAAACCACCCCCGGCCGTACCTGCTGCAGAAGGCATTAGGTCTTAGTTTCCCTATTTATTTATTTTTTGGAGACGAAGTCGTTACAAATCAGCGGTGGCAGCGGACGAAGCGGCGCGGAAGCGGCAGGCAGGCTCCAGGCCGGCGCGACCCAACGGCTGCTTCGGGGAACTGCCCGGGGGGAAGCCGGAGCGGAAAACCCCGCACATCCTCTGTAACCTCTGGAAATCAAGCTTTTCACTGAGCGATATCCTAATTATTTTCTAACTACCACCTTCTCTGCCTCTCCGACACGCTCGGAACTGGGGACGAGCGAGACAGATCTCTCCGACCGCTCCTCGTTAACAGGCGA